TAAGTAAATCCACATATTTTGAGAACAACAAAAATAAACACTAACACAACGACTAAAGGAAATATTTAACATAAACAAATCAAATTTCTTGTACCATTGCTAGGGTAATTACTTGAAACCATATAGCGACTTCTTCAACTCTCAAACCTAACCTTCTTTGCCTTTCGCCACAAAACCTTCTGGTTCCATGAAGAAAGGCAATCTTGACGTCTAATTGCTCCAGCTCTAAATCATGGGTTGCCACTTGCCACCATCAAGAGCAATACACGGATAGAGGTATGTCTCACCATATGCACGAAAATGGCATCATACTCTATCCCTTTTTGTTGTGAGAATCCCTTTGCTACCAACCTTGCCTTGTGTCATCCGTCATCTTTTACCTTGAACACCCGTTTGCGTTCAATTGTACGACCGCCCTTTGGCAACAGGATCAAATCCCAAGTTTGATTCTTTGTAATGGACTCCATTTCTTCATTAATTGCACCAAACCATGTGGAGCTATCTTTTGAACTGACCACATCATCAAAATCACAAGGCTCATCGTGTACTACATGAAGTGCATAATCTAATTGCTCACTAGAACTCATATTGGCGTATTCCTAATCTCCATACTTTAACACAATTCTAGTCCTCGTAGTTTACAAAATTATGAACAACATTTTCTAAACTTTAACAAGTATAATGATGACTATTGTGGTTTGCATTTTGTTTTAGAAATGGTCTCTATTTTATATGAAAACTTGTCCAAAGTCGTTTTTTACTCGATTTTGACCCCAGTTTCTTTATATTGTTCTTTCTATCCTCATTGAGATTATTTGGGAGCTGAGAAGATCATTTATTGAAGATTTGAGTACTTTTAAGGCTTATTCTTCGAGTTGTCGTTAGAGAGTGGTTTGGAGCTTCAAGAAATCTTTTACAACTTAGGGGTTTCCGCTTGGAAACCTACATTTAGTGAGTCAAGATTCTTTATGAAGACCAGATACATGTTGATTATATGGTCATTTTGTGGTTATAGTAATTGTATACAAATTGTCTATATGTGGAAATGACATGCTTATAATGATGATGTGTAGTTATTGTAAGTTCATTGGCATGAAGAATATATGTATTTCTGTATACTAACTTGTGTAGATGGGTGCATTAAGGAAATGAGTTTCTACCAATGAAAATCCAAGAGTAGGCACTAAGGTGGTTCAGACTAGAGGTGAAACTCGAATGAGTTAGGTGCTAAGGTCAACCTGAACTTTGAGATGGAACTCTTATAGAGGTTGATAGGCACTAAGACGGAGGTCTTAAAGTGCTACCCGACAACATTGACCATGACCTACTTTTGTGTTCCGCCATGCTCAATGGAAAGTGGAAATGGGTTTCCTCTGTATGCGTAAGCTTCAAGGGATACTTGGGACTCTTGTTGTTGGTGTTCGGGAAGAACTACAATAGGATATCATGAGTCGTCGGAAAGCTTAAAATGAAGCCTCGTTTAACGTTCTATTATGCGTACGAATTTATTGGTTCTTTTCAATGCTTGAACCCACTAGGCTTGTTAGTCTAACACTTGTTCTTATTGACTTGTATATCAGATTCTAGTGGTAGGCTACTAGAGAGTTGACTTGGTGTTTGTTAGGTTTAAGATGTTGTTAATCTAAACCTAATTCTTTCTCGTGTAATAACCAGCATAGATTATCCCTTTTTTGGGTGGAACTCGTATTTATTAATTATATTCCAGATGTTTTTCCAACCGGTGTTTTGTGCATATAAGTGTGCAATGTTTGCATGTGTTTCATGAATAGGTTTTGATACATTTGTGTGTCGGTGTGTGTGAATCAAACACGCACTAGTGTTTGTGTATGTGTAACTAACACTACGCACACACATATCTATACTATATTATAAAGCATTTGACAAAAACTCTTAAAAACTATTTTTTATGCACGAAGTATTGTACATTGATGCATATTACTTAAAATTTCAGATTACAAGTAAATTATGCACAAGTATAACTTATTAAAGCTCCATGTTTGAATTCGTGTAACTAACTATGGATAAACATAATCAAATAGAGGATAAACATCTCATTTTAAAATATAAAAAATCTAAAATAYAATTAGGATAATTATCGAGTTCTAACAAAATATTTAATTATTATCTTTATAAGAAAATTATATTATTAAACCAAATATAAATTACTTCGTTATTG